ACACACCGCAGTCGTCTACTATTAAAAAGCAACTGAATGAAGATTATTGGAAAAGTATTAAAAGAAAGATAGTGAAAGGAGAATAGCGGAAGAGTAATAAAAGTTACTAAGGATCGATTCCATCTTTATTATATTAGTACTAATTCAATGACAAGATATTTTGATTAAGAATGAATTCAATTATGAAAATGGACATGTGCTCAGATTGTTTGTTAATATTTAGGCTGCGTTTTTAAGTATCAAAGGACAATTGATTTATGGATTGTACTACATACTTCAAAATAAGAAATAAATAACGTATTTTAGAAATTCATTCGGAATAAAGGAGTAGACGCGTTCCAAAAGCAGTATTCACATTTGCTTAATCGATTGTTTTATTTTTCATATATATCAATAAAAATGCTAATAAATACGCGGCTTGCCCGTCATCAATGCAATTTAAGTTTTTCTCACGTACATTTTTTTTAGGAAAAACAAAAGCAATATACTTTACTAATATCACTAGTAGCAAAATGAAGGTACCGTTGACAAAGAATGATCCATCTAGCAAATATTCATGGAGACAAAGTATAGAACGACAATTAGCAACGGCAAGAACTAAATTTGGCGAAGCTCAAGAACCAATGAGCGATTATAGTAACGATATTGGTTATTATGGACCCGCTACTCTTGGTGGACAAAAGTTCAATCTACTTTTTGACACTGGTAGCGCTGACTTATGGGTTCCGCAAATAAATTATAATAATGGGATGCCAACTACCCATAACACATTTAATCCTGATAAATCATCAACTTTTAAAACTAATCATAAAAGGTTTTCAATTAACTATGGAAGTGGTAATACATCAGGAATCTCTGCAACTGACGTGTTTGAAATTGCTGGTTTTACCATCAGAAAACAAACTTTCGGTCTCTCTGACGTAGTTTCTGATGACTTTACTGACAGTCCATTTGATGGTATTCTTGGAATGGCTCTTGATAATTTAAGCTCATTACGTGCCAAAACTCCATTTCAGAATTTAATTGATAATGGTGAGGTTAACTCCCCTGTATTTAGTTTCGTACTTGGTAGTGTAAAGGAAGGTACCAATAAAACTGGTAATGAGCTTATTTTTGGTGGAATGATCCAAGATTTTCTGATAGAATCGTATATAACCCACTTAATACTAATAACGGGTTCTGGCAAATTCCCTTGGATGATGCCCATGTGAATAGAAGGTCACTAAGATTAAATGGAAAGTCTGCCATTATTGATACTGGAACAACTCTTCTTATTGTACCTCGGCAAGCCGCGGAACTTATCCATAGCTTAATTCCCGGCGCAGAAAATAATGATGGAACATATTTAATTCCAACTGATACTTCAGTTGTAGTATCTTTAACCTTCGGTGGAATTTCTTATGAAATCAAAACCGAACATTTAGTTGTCTATGATGCAGGAAACGGTTTAAGTGTTTCAGGTATTCAAGGTGGAAGTGTGACCGGATCTGATGATGTGTGGTTGGTTGGTGATGTATTCCTTAAAAATGTATGTAGTGTATATCATGTAAAAAATCGTGCCGTTGCTAATTGTCGTTCTATACTTTGTC